ACCATAAACTATATTGACCAATTTCCATTAAGCAGTAAACAACAAGGACAGTACACATGGTCAAACTCCTTACAGCTTTTTCTACCCAATCCCCCTCTTTTTTTGTGTGTAGCTCTTGTGTCCACGCAGAGCTGTAATTACCTGTCGCTCCACGCCCATTGTCCTTCCCTTTGTATATCATTGTAGCCAATCCACATGAATGACTCAGCCAGCAGATGTTTTGTGACAAATTCTTGTTCTTTGGCGTTACTGATGCTCAGCAGGTCAGAGCGAGATCTTATGCAATCATTTCTTGCCATGTACCACGTGTGCGTGTTGTGTCTGACCAGGTAACAGTACACCATGTCTGTTCCGTTCATTAGGTGGGAAACCCACCCACGGGGACATAGCGCTAGAGAAAAATAAATCAAAATAGGTTGTAAAGCCGCGTGAGATGAAAAAAGAGAGAAAATTTTGAATTCAGTCATGGAATAGACCAAGTTGAATATTTGTTGCAGGTGGGGGACGAAGAAAAATATGTTACCCGTCGGAAGGGCTCGAACCTCAGATCCTTCGATCATGCAATCGCATGCTTTGCCCACTGAACTTCAGAGAAATTTGCTTCTTATTGGTTTTGTACGATTCAGTTGGTGAAAAATACAATTGCATGGATGGATTTTAAGACTCAAACCGTCACAAGGGACTCGGATCTCTTATCAACATCCTTTATCATGAAAAAACTCACTTATTTGATGTCACCTGCAGATTATACAACATAGGTACTTACGTTTGGTGGTTGGCTCCTGTGTAACGACGGGTTTTCGGAGACTCCTCCATGTAAGAACAAATCCTTTCCTCTCGCGGGAACCGTCGGAATGCAGACGGATGCGAGCGTGGTTGGATATTGTTTGGAACTTTTCATCAACTGAAATGAAAGGAAAAAACGGTCAAACTACGAAAATCCAAATGGCCAGTGCAGTGCTCTTTTTCTCAGTATTTCGTCATCATTCTTGGAATTTGTTCAGGTTAATCTAGTGGTGTGGATGGTTCCGTCGGAGACGACAAAGCACTTTAAAAATCAAACTTATTTAAAAAGATAAATTGAAACTGAGACTTTCCTGAGAAATTTGATATTTTGTGCCTTCAAAATACGTGACGCAACGAGAAAGGAGACTGAACGAGCAGTCAAGTTTAAGTGTAAAACCACTCAGTCTATCAGTTTTATTTGGTCTGATGTATCGAGGAGCAAGAAGAAATTACCTGATTGTCCACAATGTCTTCCTAATGATGGTGAATTCCTTGAGTTACCATCACGTACTTCGACATAATCGTATCGGCAACCTCTACCGACTTTATGTATGTCAAATATTTTGAATTTCAGCTCAATGTAGTGGCCACGTGGCGCCGTAATTACCCAGATACAGTCCGCATTAGGAGGATAGCTGCCTGGATACCCGGGACTGGTCAATGTCCCAGTAGACTCCGTTAGCTGCCGGCCACACTCTGTAAACATCAAGTGAATGAGCTTCGTAAGAACAAGCTAACTCTAGGTATATAGACCATGCTTGGGCCTGTTGTATCTGAAAATGTTGTTGATGGTTCCAAATACCCAGGGTCAGACAACAGTGTCAATAAAGTAATTGGTTTTCACCGATCACTCTAATCATTTTTGATAATGGTGATGATGTCGTTGATTATTTTGATGTTAAATAATGCTCATGATAATAAGTAATTATATAGTACTAATAGCCTCACCATTTGCAGTTTCCTTAACTTCCACCTTCTTCGCTTCCCATTTGGCATTAAACCCATAGTAACCACGCTGTACATTTGAGTGAAATTTAACCAGCATGACGTTGGAACTTGAACGAAGAACAGTCGGGAGTTTGGAGCCACAGAACTTGCCGATGCGACGGGACGAGACAGTTTGGCCATCGTACACTGAGACGGAATCATCGCATAATGGATAAGAGCCTGTTGATCGATAGGATAACAAAAGGTAAGTTTTAAGTTGCATTCAAACTATATCGAGGAACGAACGCTTTCCTCGCTGCTCTAGAACTGTTATTCATTTGAGCAATCGCAGACAGGGTTGTACGCAAAATTAACGGCTAAGGAAATTCACTTTTGAGAAGTTATGTTATACCAACGTTTCCCAAATCCACTCCAGATATCAAAAAAAAAACAGCAGTACGATTCAAAGACAAAGTTGTCGAAGGGTTCTGCCTCCAAATTTTGACCGAAGGGAAGGGTACATGCTTCAGAGGAACGTTTATTCAAGCGATACCTTAATTTAAAGGAAAACGCTTGCTTGAAGATATCAAGTATCGTTTATGACGATCTGTACATACTAGGCACACAGTTTAATGGTTCTTGATAAACGTTTTTGAAAAATATTGTGCAATATCAACTTAAAAAATGGCCACAGTATCCTTAAAATGTCGGAATGGTTTAACCCCCGAAAAGGAAACATGAAGTCAGACTCACCATAAACATTAAAGAAGAGGAACTTAAATTCAATTCTTTGTCCATCTGGTACACGAATAACCCACTCGCAATTCATTTTTCCTGGATAAGGCTTCGGATAGTTAGGTGAATTAAATCTTCCGCTGACCGCTTGGAATTCGTGACCACAAGCTGTAAGTGAAAACAACAGTCCTCACCTTAAACATGTCATATGTTAAAAAAAAAGCAGAGGTACAGCAAAGAGATATGATTTATGCAACATTTGAAAGGATCAATTTTTTTAAACGCATTCATGGACGTAATGTTCTCTGCAGCCCAATCCGTCGTGTAGCTTTACAGGATACGCATTCAGACTCAACGAAAGAGAGGACGAGACGCGAGAGTTTGGGGGTAGCTTTGTTTTGGAATCACCGGTGTGGTGGATTTAGTGCAATATGACAGTGTCTATCAGGAGTATTGGTATTTAGGCTTTCAAGGTCATATCGACTTCTCAGATACATACCGGACGGGCATTTCTGCTCATTGCATAACCTCTCATCCAACGCTTTTCCCTGGCAAGTGCGTCCATTTCTACTGGGTTTTGGATTGTCGCACTGCCGTACTCTGTGCTGTTTACCACTACCGCAGCTTTTACTGCAAGTGTTCCATGAAGTCCATGACGACCAACCACCATTAATGATCACCACCGGAGTTACTGCAATCATATCAATGGAATATCCACACAATGTGAGTTTTTTCTTTTGTGCGCCACAAATGTTCCAAATTTAGACAAGATGGAACTGCAGTTTAATGAATGTTGTCCTTTTTTTTGGTTCTTTCAGGAGGAAAGGGCGTGTATGAACCTCTGCTAAACTTCAGAATGAGCCAATTTCTTCCCACAGTGTTTAATAGGTATCAATAACACCATTGTAGTGTATGCAATTATATGGCATGATAAGTCTACATGAGGGACAGATATTTTCCGTACTTGCTTAATTTACCTGGAGACTTGAAGCGATCCTCAGCACATAAATAAGTTTTGTCCCAACCATCTCTTCCGTTCTTCGCATACCATCTCATACAAGGTAAGCCTGCAATGCGGTTCGAATACGACCACACAAATCTAGACGACCAAAGATTCATGTTAGTCTATGGGACGTTTATAATTAGAAGGACTCTAGATATTACTGATACTCGACATGTCTCTCAGGTTCATCCTCTCAAAAGCATTCAGCCTTTCATCAAAGTTTCCCTATTGGTTGTCTCTCCGACAGGAACTACAATTTTGACATCAAAATCGCTGTTCCTTGTACATAATTACAAAAGAAACATTTGTGTCGTGATTCCGTATTCTTGAAATTAGCTTTCTGTTTCTTGGAATCAGTAGAAATATGACACCACATAAACTGCGTCAATTCCACGGAATGTTTTTTGCTTTTGTTAAAACACCAGAATCCGAGGAGGTCATCCTCTCTAGCTCTATTGTTAGCACCAGAAGCAAACGTGTTGGTTGTTTTATGAGGGTATGATACTTTTTTTATAAAAGCAATTTATGAAAGGAAAATCATTTTGTATTTTTTTTCATCTACCTGTAAATCTTATTGAGGGTGGAGGCAGTGAACAATCGAAGCATAACTAGTTTTTCAACAATTCTTAGCCACGTTGAATTCAATTTCTTTGTAAAGAAAATGCTTGTCAACCAACCACTCTTCTACATTTTGTTACTTTTATTTTACTTCCTGATATGTGAAACTAACCGTGAAATTGTTGCCTTAAACCACTTCAACCCTCGCTAGCTCACCTGTAGGGAAACCCGCCGTCTGTTGAGATACACAGGTAGTTATTGTCCCAACGACCTCTTTTAGTACCTTGTGAATCCTCAGGAACAAGGATTCGTGTACACTCCCTGTTATTAACTTCTCCTTGGTCTGACCAGCGCATTTCTGGTTGCCTCTTGTCCGCCGCCGAACACAGTAGGTAATCCTTAAAGGTGAAATAGTCCAATCGCTCAAATATTCTTACGCATGTTTCATTTGGGCCTGCCCTTGGTTTTCGACCAAAGCTGAAGTCTTCCGGGAATTTTGGCCATTCTGTAAAGAACGATGATCGGATGACCAATGGTTTAGAATAACGAAGAATACCTATGACATGCTGCATAGACCTCTTTTACAATTGCTGGGCTAGTTTGTACTCTCTTAAATGCATGTGGCTCTTCAAATACCTTGAACGTACACGAGAAGAAAGAATTATCACAGAAGCAGGCCAATGTGCAATGACGTTAAAGAACAATAACCATGCCAGCGTTAAACCAAACGAAGTCTTTGTCTTACTCTGTTCTTGAACAGGAAAATAATACCACATGTACTTATGTGGAATTGGACTGCACCAAAAGTCAGCCAAACTCGTGAGCTAGGGGGTTTATAAGGTAGGAGGGCTGGTACAGACAATTGAAAACTTTCTATGTTACAATACACACTCCCAAAGTATATGGGAACTTTTAATGCTTCAAACATACCTGCACACTCCTGTGTGTTACACATCCTTGTATCGGAGGCCTTACCCACGCAGTATTGACCCCCGGAGGACGGTTGAGGATTGGTGCAGGAGCGAAGGCGACTCTGAACTCCTCCTCCACACTTACGTGTGCATGTTGTCCAGGGCGTCCATCGGGTCCAGTTGCCATCTGGGAACAATTTTAAAATAAAATTAAGGAACATTTAAGATGGAACAACTATAAGAATAATTATTTTCTTGTTGTTATTGCAATTTTTGTACAGAGAGCTGGCAGAGATGGTGTAGTATAAATGCACCCTCATGGAGGAGATTTTATTACCGAGTTCAATTCCAGGACGTAGCGTCATATATGGGTTAGGTTTGCAGTTGGTTTTTTTTTGTGCCGTTTCCCAAGTTCTACTGTTTTCCAAGCCTCTCTCTACAAGTACCAACTTTCCAAATAGATGATGATGTAGTTGGACGGTGAAACCACTTCGAGGATGTGCCTCGGTTTAACCCCCTGATTATATTTGTATTTTTGTATTACTTCGCAATTAACTTAAAACTGACGCGAGCGTTTTCACTCTCTCATTTCACACTGGTAAGAAACTAAAATTTACTTTCATACACGAAAGGTAAGGCGAGATAACCTTTCTGCCGAATAAGTTTTCAATCACAGCATTTACTTAGATTGTACTTGCCGGGAAAAAAGCAAACACACGCACACACACATACACACACGTGGACATTGAAATAGCTAAAGCCTTAATCTGTTGCAGACCAAAACGCTTCCTCTGACGATTGAGGAACGGAAAAGGGAAACAAAAAAAAACACGAATAAAAGGTAACAATAATTTTAAAAAAAAACCTACCGATGGGTTTTCGATCTTTTGTAGCACACAGGAAATATCTGTTGCGTCCCCAAGTCGGATCACGAGGTTCACTCCATTCCAAACAATTGGCTCTTTCCTCAGCAGTTGGCGCATGCGTTAACCACTTGAATTTGTAAATTCCGTCATGTGGCCAACAGAGATAAGATCTGTCCCAGATCTCATAGTAGGATTTCGTTGGTGTGCGAATTTGGAGGCACTTTTTGCCAGGTACGGGTCCTCTGGTTGAAAAACTAACACCAGGCACAATTGAAAAATAAAATAACGTGAGACGAGGCAGTCATCCTGTTTGGTAAGTCTGATTGGTTTAGTTTGGCTTCCGAGACTTAAGATACACAATGCACGTGTTGAGGATTTCTTCAAAGTGAAAAATGAGCATTTTAGAGTTGGTTTTTTATGTCAGATAGATTGGTATGGTTGCCGATGTAAACGAACCTTTATAGGGACAACACGAAGAAGTGAGAGACAAGAGCTTTTACAATGTACCCAAAAAAAGAACTGGAAACAAAATATTTTTTATCTACAATTATGACTCCAGTTAAACTAAGAAGGTTAAACGTTGGGAACGAATAAGAACAAGCTTCAAAAATCTGTTCAAACTCGTGCAAAGGTCTCTTCCAGATAAATATACGGTGATCGATGAAATTTAATAAAAAAAAGCCCGTACTAGTTCAATGGCCTTAAAATTAGGATCAGTGCTCTGCAATGAAATTACAACTAAGTTATTGTTCAATTCCTCTAATTTCAATGGTCTCTAAGTACGGTTTCCGTAACAGTTGTATAGGTTTGCACTTATTCCCATTGCGCATCCTTGATGCACATTCGATTCAACGCTAAGGCGGATGCCTTGTCATATATTGAGCTCGCGCAAAGAATCAAAAACTCAACAAATTAGAATGCAGGTGGTTAAAGGGGGTAAGTTTCTGAAGAAACTATGGTGTTGCGTCGGTTGGAGAGTATAAAAGGGTAATTTAGAGTTAATAACGTAAATTGGCCACGTTAAAGGGTTTAAATGTTAACGTTTTGAGCGTTAGCCCTTCTTAAGAGCGATTGGTGAAGCTCTGACGGAGGGCTAACACTTACGGTGGCCAATTTACATTATCATCTCAGTTGATAGTACTAAATTACCCTTTAATGCAGATGGTTACTGCATTTTACGCGGTGTAACCATATTGCCTTTGTATGTAGGGTGATCCCCACGTTTTAAGGAAGATCACATCATTTTCTTCTTCAAAGGACTAATTAAGGCGGTTTAACTTCAAAGCGGTGGCTGCTGTTACCTGAGCGAGAGAGATTTTTTGTCCTTTCTGTAGCACATATAGTTGTCTCTCCAACTAGCTGATCTATGGTGAGTTATTCGAATACATCTCGCATAAATACTGTAAGTCGCGTTCTTCCTCATCTGCCCATTGCTACTCCAAACAAAATCTTGCGGGAACTTTGGATAATCTAAGAATGAAAAGTTGAATGACACGAAAAAGTTGAATGACACGAAAGACTGAATTTTAAGAGCTGTGGAAATCGAGTCAATTCACAGACAGTTCTTAATTTTATCATCTGAATATAGGAGACCATGAGAGGGTATTGCATTTTAAGCTATTTTCAGAGTGCGTTCCATAAAAAATAGTGATGGTACGAACCTGGACACCTGTACAGGAGGTTTACTTGCTGGATGTCCAGTATACTCAAGTTAGTATTGCCAAACGTTTTAATGGACCGTTGTCGTGCCACAATGGTCGGTAAACCGTTTTTAGAGAAGGCTTTCGCGCCGTAGTGCATGACAGACTTATAATCGTACTCCACACCGAGACTGTCAATCCTCCGTGAACTGTATTTGTGAAACGCGTACTTGAACTCTGCAAAATGAGAGAAGCAGATAAATTCGTCTGGGAACAAACGTTGTATATTAAAACAGAACATCATACATTTGGGTACCAATATTGTCGGAATCATGGACCAGTCGATTGGGAGATTTCCCAGACCTCAGGTCTGGGACACAAGGATTTGTGTGTCAAATATCACCCTTGTCCAATCGTAACTTACAACCAACTGATTGAGAGATTGATAGACTAATCGATTGCTTGATTGAAGAGTTCAAGACGCTGATGAGAGGTAATGCACGCGAAAATGAACGGTGCGATAAGGTTGACCAAATCAGGTAAGGAATAACATCAGTCCAACCCAACATCCATCAATGAATCCCTCTGTTAAACAATTGAACAATAATCCCATCGATTAATGAAACATAACTACGTAGCTCGTCGTGAGGATCTAATAGTGCAGAACTTCCTTAAGTGAATTAATGTGTTTTCTATTTACAATTTAAAACTCACTGGGTATTATGTTTTCCTCCTTGATTTCAATATAGTTATCTCTATCGGGGCGGTTCTGTTCGTGCCAAAAACCAACCAAATGCCCCAGTTCATGGACCACAATACCATGGTGCGCGCATCCTCGTCCAAGGGAAGTGGTTTGTCTACCACCAATTCGGCCAACATCAGAGTTACAACTTCAATGGAAGAGTAAAAAAGGGTTCAAACCAATAAAGCAATGTGCTATCAAAGCATTGGGCGACGTCAGTTAACTTATACTTTTTGCAGCTAAGATATTATACAGTCTAACCTCTGCCTAACGGCTACCATGGGAGGGAGGGAGGGGGGGAGGGACGAGAAAAGTGCACATATTGAAATAGAGGAAAAAAGCTCCATAATCAAAAAATATTATCGTACGGATACTTACCCTTCACCGTAATAAAATTCCACGTAATCCACCTGATTCTCCCTTTCTACGAATTTGATACAGGTAAGTTTTTCGTATTCTGCCATGGCATCTTTTAGAAGTTGGCGAATTTTGCTGTTTCCAGCTGAAATAAAAAAGGGGAATTACGGATGATTACCGACTCGTCATCTTCTTCCATATGAAAGATATTATAAGAAACTTGGAAAACTTACGAATGCTGTATGCTATTGTATACGGTATGATTCCCTTTGGCCATAGGTTTGACCTGTCTCTTATGGGAGCCGAGCCATCAACTCCCTTTCTTCCTACATTTCTCCTTGGCAGTTTCATATCCACCTGCCACTCGCTGCCTTCTTGATATTTAGCTGCAAAACATCAATGATGATAAATGTGATTTATTGATACAATCGAACCTGTATCAAGCAGAGAATAACGGGGTGATTCCTTAATACAGGTTCCACAGACTAGGCGTATTTTAGAAAACGATAAACAACACCACTTTATGCCACAATTGACCACTCAAGGAGTCACCATAGGGTTTTCTGACCGAGCGAAATCTGGGTGCGAGCATAGCGCGAGCTTTTAAAGTGTAAAAATGCAAAACAAAGATGGCGGTGTGTTTAAAAACAGTTTAACATAATACAGTTTTTATGTGGTGGAATCTAAGGTTTCTAGCAACCGCACCCGTAATATTCATAGGCCTTCTACGCCTGAAAAAGAGGTCAACTGAAGAGAAAACACCATGGGGAAGATTGCCAAAAGGCGACAGATTCGAAAGTTTACGCATGCTCTGATAGAGATCTTGGCGAAGTTCTATACCATTACGTAATGTTTTGTGACAAAGAAAATTGGGATCTTTCGAGCAAGATATATGGCGTTTCCTTCGGTGGAATTTCCTAAGATTTTCTGGACCATCAAACATATTTGTGCCCTTCCTAGTGCCTTTTGATAGAAAATATTCATAAGACCCAAATTTGAGAATGAGCGAGAAAACATAAAAATTACAAATAGCGAGGAAATTGCCTCTGTAACCCCTATGCTTTCGGCTTTTAAATGGTTGGCAAGACAAATTCCACAAATTGTGAAAATTTTGAAAGATTTCACTGGAGCAAATTGAAGAAACTTAAAGGGAAAGCCAAATTATCGCTGGCGAACGCCTCCCTTCGTGGAGAATTAGCTTAATAACGAAAATCATATTGATAATATTCACGACAGCAAATGATGGCCCGAACCTCGCTCATCGCCCTTTTAATGGCCTTTAGTGACCTAGAAAAGCGAAAACATGAAAATTTTCAAGGTAACCAATTAAAACCCTATGAAGCCTCCTTAATGAGCAGAATCTCGCTCAAAAATGTTACTTTGATTTTGGAAAGAATCTTGGATAAAAAATTACTTGAAAGATTATTCCTAGTTTTATTTGCGTGGTCCTACTTTGACCGTTTAATAGAGGTAAAAGAGAATAAAAACAGGTCGCTGGGACTCAGTAAAGGGTGACCGTGACCGCTTAATACAGGGTGACCGATTAATACGGTGCTGCTAAATACAGGTTCAACTGTGATGAGTAATTTGTTGCTCCTCTCATTTCAAGTGCAGGGGATGAGGAATATTTCCCAATCTATAAGCGGAGGACACAGATCCAATCGAAATTGCTGTTCGCGGTCAATTAAAGACAATATTTCTCCTGCTGTTGGTCAAGAAGTGATTTGGTTCCTCTTAACTGTTGTTAATTTAAATCTGCCAGAATTCTCACACAGCTGTTTTAGTCTGATCGACTACACTGCTCGTGAGTAGCCAACATACAGGCATGACGCTATCGACATTGCTGATCCTAACAGTATGCAGGACGGGTGTCATATGAACTTCGTAATATAATACGTTCACCGTAGAGTCTCTGTAGCTCAGTGGTAGAGCATCGGAGCGCGGAATCGATTCCTCATGGGGACTCAGAACTTTTTCTTTGTCCCACGCTCGTGACAAGACGAAACATATCTTTCACTATTTCATTATTCTGTTTTGTTGCTTAGTTTTGAACGACGCGTAGATCAGCCCTAAACGACAGATTATGCGCTTTCGATTTTTACGCGTGATGACTGATTTGGGCTTTGCCACTGGATAGAAATCTCTAGCTCATTATCCAATTGAGTTTAACACGGAACGAAGATAAGGCAATTAACTCTGAGAACAAAGAGACCGACCATGCTTGTTGGTCTCATAGAAGAGCTCTAAACGGAACTATATATATATTGACAAGCGCGGAAAAACATAGACACGATGATGGCGTCAGAAAAGCACTCACGATCTCTTGCAGAAATTACTTACGGGTTTGTTGGGAAAACCTGCAAACGTGAGACCTACGCGGCAAAACGCAACAAAACCCCAGAGGGTTTTGATGTCTTCAGCTTTAAGTTCTGCTTGTGGCTGAACCGAAAAGACAGAAAAGCTAATAAAGTGAGTTAATAAAATCATTTTTTTTATTTTGCCGACTAACCATTCGAGGAAATGAAATGTCCAAGCAAAAGGGTACCCAGGGAATGTTTGCAGTTAAGACGGTGAAGCATCAATAAACGTCGATTGACAAAATGAACTAACATTTCCTGCAAACGTCGCGGGTGGCTCATGATGTTAATCGTTTCGAATGCCGCCAGAACTCTCCTTTGGTACAACAAGTGAGGATAGTGGCGTTGGATTCCAAATAGAAAAGTAGACAAAATGCCTTCGAGAGTCTTCGGACAATTTTTCTGCTCAATTAATATTTTGTTTTGTCATACCCTTATCGCTGTCGCGTTTTATTATATTTATTGATCGGATTTGGAGGAGATAACAGAACAGAGAAAGAAAGGCAGCCAACGGAAAAACGGACACTGAGTTGAAGAAAGCAGTGTTAAAACGATGTGGACAACAGCCAAAAAGGTCATCACTTTCGGTAATTAATTTAAACCATAGTATTCGATTGGATTATTGTGTTGATAAGACGCGTTGAAACATATATCACTGATCACTCAAACGTCACTTTACAACAAACAAATTGAGAGCAGGTTTCTTTTTGTTCACGAACGGCTGTTTTCTTATGATAACTACTTTACTCTTATGATAACTCACTTTTCTTATGATAACTAGTCAAATTTTACTTATGTATTAAAAGTTATTTGATTATCTTTTAACTGGAACAGCTACCAAACTTTCCTGTTATCGCAAATCTACAACAACAACAAACAAAATCTCTTTTCTCTTATCAGCTTATCAGGTCATGGGTTAGATTCTAGGCATTTCTGGACCAGATTTAAAACTCCTGCCACTAAAATTTGTTTTAGCTATCAAAATGTGACCTTGAAAGCAGTATGAAATTCCTTAATGTTTCTACATCTCAACAGTCTCAAATCAGTCGCGTTTTGGCGTTTTTGTTCGAATTTCCAGATTGTTCTTCCCCACAAATCCCCTCACGTCCAATTCCAACCTTAAGACATCGCACAAGGAGCTGTTTTGTGGACGTGCTACTTAAAAATCCAATTTGTCCGATCATTAGAATTATCTTTGCAACACACCAGTGTCAAATGTTCCTGCGAAGTGTTACAATTTTATGTCCAATTGACTGCCGCTGACAGACGACTGAACTCCGGGTCAAGAGGTTGACGTGATCTTGAAAAATAAACGTGTCTTTAAAGTACACAGAAAGCCATAGGCGTGATCGACTTAATGGAAATCCTAAGAAATGAATCCACAAATCTTTTCAAGAAAACACCTTTTCCACGCACCCCCGCTCTTGCACGTGTGAGGTGCACGTGCTTGCTGAGCGTTCTGACGTTTGCATGAGTTAAACAGACCAAGTTAATTGCTACCGCTTTTTCTTCTTTTAATACCACAGTGAAATCATTCAAAAGCGGGTCTTTTTCAAGTGGACACTCTATCTTAGACAATGATGGCTATCCGCCTGATGTATTTAAAAAAAGATTTAACTAAATCCCTAGCCATAATGACACCTTTGATTTATTAATACACCTGAGTAATGCTATTCGTAGAAAAGACTGGGCTCAAAGTCTAAGAAGAAACAAGACGGCAGAGAAACGAAAACGACCTCGTTAGATTGCCTAAGTCAGCTTTAGTAGTATTGCTCAAATCATCGGTTTAAAATTTGAGCTTAAACCTTTTGAAGTAACTGCAGCAAAAAAAATACTTAATTTACAAAGTTCTCGAGTTAGTTTGTTTTTGATGTTGTTGAGTGTGAAAATCCACCATGCCTCAGAAAAAACTGAAATAAACAGTTAAAATAAGTAAAATACTTAAGGTAAGAGAGAATCATCCCGACTGGGTTAAATGCTAACTAGAAATGTACATGTACATAGAGTCCATTTTTGTGACGGAAACAATGTTCGTTGCATTGGAGTTTTTGAGAGCTTCCGTGAAGTCGTGCCGGTTATCATTAAAACCACTTTCGGACCCGATTTAAAGGAAGTTTAGTTCCGGCTTGGAACTCTTTACCTTTTCCTGTTATGACCAGTCAGCGCCAACGAACAATAAACAATGTGAAAATTCATTTGCAGAATCTACCGCCACAGACAATGCCTTTTATGAGAAAAAAAGTCTTCAAAAGAAACTTTGAAATGCGACCGGTAAATGCATTTACGCTCACTCTCTTCGAGTGCATGGAATGCCAATTGGAATTGAGTTTTCGATTTAAAAAAAAAAAAAGGAATATAGAGAGGGAGAGAGAAAGAGAGGGAAGATAAGAAAACACACTTGTAGCACCAGAATAAATATTTAAACAGTTAATGCCCAATGTGCACATGTGCGTGTCACGATGTTTTATCCGCTTCCCAAGATTACCTCACGAACCGGAAACAGTCATGACGTGCCTGTCTACACCACATGTGTGAGTCTCAATTAAATTCGCTATGTGTTATCTTAGAATCTATGCGGCTGATATCTTAAGAAAACTCAGCTACAAAGTATGCTACTTCCATCATCTAACAATCTGAGGCAGAATCACAGCTGGAGTGCTTGGTTTTCTCGCTTTTATTTTTCCAACGGATACCTTTTATATAAAAATTACTACACCAGGCAAGATTCAATCAATTTTGATGTCTGTAGTGAGAAATACAATCGAAAGTATGATGTAATCCGTTCGCGACGAGGCGTCGAAATCGTAAAAGAGCTTTTCAATCAAGTGATTATGAATTGGAGACGGTTTCATTGTGACAAAGTTGCAGGTCACGGGGTAGGCCGGCTTCTGTCATTAAGTAGTTGTGTATGTAGTATCACTGGTAAATACGTCAGTTAAACACCCGATATTTGTCGAAAATGAATATAGCTTAAAAAATAGGAAAACTTGGAAAATCATTTTCTAAGACAACCAGTCAATTTGAAGGCCTGCGGACCAACCGGGGAGTGAAGACAAAAAGGACTGGATTCGAATGAGTGTCAAAGTCGGGCCTAATGACCTTCTCTTTATCTCTGGTTTAATCAAAGCCACGAGGATTTGCTACCAAAGCTTTTGCTTCCCAGCTTATATTTGATCTCTTGGCCACCTCGTGTTTTGTGCGACAAGCACAATGTTAGACAAATTTGTTTCATAGCTGAGACGTGGCTGTCACGGAGCTTGAAATGTACGAGAGAGAACTCCCTCCCAGACAATTATTTTTTCGCTGTGGAATGCTTTTCGGTGAAATACCAACACAAAATGACACAATTTTTTTCCTGACCGATGGATCAAATGAACCGACCAGGTTCTAAACATATGCCCTGATCAAGTTCCTAATTCGTTTTCAGAGATTTTGAGTCTGCTCACAGTATGTTGTCTGTAATCACTTACGAAGTTTAGCATATTTGGTGTAATATAACCTAGTACAAACACACTCAAGAATTCTGCCGTGTTGAAGGTTTCAATCTCCTCAGGAACCGAACACAGATATTTACTAAGTGTTCACTGAAACATTATCAGACTCGTCAAAACCTGATTATTCGTATTGAAGGCGAAATTCCCGGCTTAAGAACACAAATAATCTACGCGGGACCACTGTTTGCGTTTCTCTCTTGTGAAAAGCATTGCGAAAGCTGAGATGTGTACTGCCCTTGCTGTTGTTTTGCTGCAATTAGTGTCGTGAATCTTACGCATTGAAATCTGAGAAATAAACAGACTACTTTTATCCGCATCAATGCCTTCTTTGCCGAGTTTTATCTCTAGAAATTTATAAAGACATGGCCACTGAAATGGTTACGGCTTCCTCTTAAAAAATACCATCGTCGGACAAACCATTCGAGTTATCTATTTAGAGGAACAATTTTCTTAATTGAGCGAAAGTAAAATAAATCTTACTAAGGAATAAAGCAATTTGATTAAAGGTTTAAACTATGACACCAATATTAATCTCCATGATACGTTTGTGAATACATGGATGGTGGGTTTGCTTTCTTAGCGATGAAACTGTTGAAATGCTAGCGAAATGTTGGTTTTATTGTGTAACTCTTAAAATCGATTACGAAAAGATTATGTCAGAGCTGAGTGCACTGTGTTTCTTCTTGGAAGGGAAGAAGCAATTGCACTCAGGGAACTCACTGAAACCGATAAGGGCTCAAAGATCACTTAGCTTGCGCAAACCGAATGATTCAAACAACCAACCGATGGGAAACAAATAAACTGTTGTTGGCCTTAACACTAGTCTACATACACTAGATCATTCGCATACTTTCAAGATCTTTCTCGTAATAAAACAAACATCTGCTATAACGAGAAAATGAGAGTGGAAAATCCTTACCATAATTCTGATTGACTCTGGCTATTTCATCAAAAGCTGCTGTATGTTGTTTCGCCACAGGCGACATAAGCGATCTGCTGATCCAACTCGTCATTAGGATAAAGTAGAGCAAACCGTTAGGTACCAGCGCCATTGCTTTCACGCGTCGGATGCGGTATTTGGAAGATTCGTGCTCCAAATTCGCGGCTTTATGTAGAGCGCTGAGTGTACGTCACACGGGAAACGATGACTTATATCTATCCCTCTAAAAGGCGATGGCAGGTAGCAAATTACCTTGACAGGAAGCTCATAAAATGTAACGCGTAACCGCGGGATATCGGGTGACAACATTCTAACCCCAGAGGACTGCGCTAACAATTTTAAAACTTTCGCGATCGTTGACAAATATAGTGTGAAGTTTAAAGTCTTTTTCCTTTTAGTTTTTGCTTGTTTTGTATGCAATCAGAGTGGACAAGAATAACTCCCAGAATTTTTGAAATGCTTAGTGAAAGAGTTTTGTTTTCTCAACATGAGACTTTCCGTACCTTTTGTTACGTTCTTATGCGGTACTCAAACTTCTCAACGCTGGAACAAACAAAAAAAGTTTTTTCAGGATAACTGAACTGACCATATTTTGAGTGCAGCGGGAGATAATATTTGTTTCAGAAAATGGCTGAAACAATCTCTTTAACTTTACTGGTGATAAACTAATGAAATGATTCAAGAGGCAAAAATGACGCAAACTTGTTTGGTTTCATCAATACGTCCATAACCTGTGGTAGCAAATCTTACATCAGTTGTCTCTTTGAAAGCCCAAAATGAAAAGGACCCGTTCAAATTGCGTATTTTGGTTTACGTCAGAGGAGTTTTTCCGGACGTGTGCTCTGTCAAAATTTCAGCGGAACTTTATATAGTTTACTTAAAGGTTTACTCGATTCGCTATGTTCGTTTGTTTACAAGGCCAAGACCAGATAGAATTCTGAATTTTTCAAGGAAATCTAGGTAAAATCGAGACAGATTTTTTTAGTTTAAAGCTTTCAGATAATAGCTTTAGGGTAATGAGTAGTCACCAGAGGTTACAGCCCAGAAAATGAAACACAAGTGCGGCAGGAAAAGCACCTGGCTAAAATTTGAAGGAATCAATGAATTGATACGAGGAAGAAAACAATGATATCGAAAAGAGGATATCAAAAATCCGGAATGAAAGTAATAAGATTAGGTTTAATCCGAATAAACGTTTATATTGTTTTTAACTACAATCTGTCACTCTTGGCATTTGGGCTGAGTGCGGAAGCGAAACTTAAGACAATTTGTTGGATCAACAACCTCTCTACCCTGAATTCTTTTCTATATAAATTAATGGGATCACCTCGACAATGTTTTAAAAAAGTTTATCGTTCTAGTATTTGTTTTGTCCTGTTTGTATACGAATAATCCTAATGGCATGAATGGTAGAAAGATTCGATAAATGTTCCTCCTTATCTCCAACAAAGAGACTTTCGCTGAATCAATGTTACATTCTTGTGGTGCACATAAACCCTTTCCATATTTCGAGCAAACTCGATTGAAATTCAGCGTCTTCACGAAAATAAGTAGGAAACAAAATGGTGTATTTTAACTTCGCAACTTATTATTCTTTCAGCCCGCAGATGTTGCCTTTTTCATTATTTTTTTGATCTTTAACCTTTCAGTGTCTACATGGGAAGTTTCATATTTGAGTGCTAAAGAAGCTTTGCAGTAGGAAGTTCCTTGACCCAGCATACGTTTCTCAAGGTGAATCACACGTGTTAAGCAAAGAAAACCATTACAAATGCCTCCTTTTTCCTCAGCACGTGCTTAAATGAACACGTGAGCCATACACGTGTTCATTTCTCTTTTCCTTCTATTTTGTGTTCATATATAAGTATTAAGTACGTGTTTCCCCCTTATGCTGACTCATAAAGGCCGGGTTTGCCTTTGAGAGGCATTGGCCCGCCCAAAATTGTCCTTTTCTCTCTTTTTTTCCAGAAAGAAAAATGGGTTTCATTGGGTAAATACGAAGGACAGCCTAACTGTTGGGTGTTGAAGTTTGATGGCAGAGATGAAATAACCGCAGACATTATAAAACCACAAATGTCAAGCAGGAAGAGTGAGAGATTGCTTCGCCACTCTGTCATCTTCACCGAGCGTGGAGGACATCTCTGATTAAACGAACGTGACAAAAACAAGAGCATTAACCAGAATACAACCTATGATTTCCGGTTCCTCTGTATTTCTCGTGAAAGCAAATGAATGAGTAACTTTCACACTCAAAGTAATATTACTCGCTTCAAAGGAATATGAATCAATGCAGGAGAATTTGTCGAATTGTTCTTGGTGAGGGAGGTCATCTTAGCAGGACTCCTTTCCAATTTACGCCGTGAAAACTGGGCTAGACTCCAGGAGTCGGCGCCGGGTGACACTTTACTAGAGATTTCGCCCAATTTCGATATTCATTTAAATATCTTTGACAGTAAATGTGTCCCAGAATAGTAAAGTTATTTTCTTCATTTCAAGATAAAAATATCCATATTTATTTGTAAATTTGTCAATCCACGTTTAATGGGACATGATAAAATTTGTTGCACCGAATCTTCCTCCGCTGGTGTTGTGACATTCACTGGATGTTATAATCATAAGTGTTGAAACTCTATTACGACACTTCGACAACGAAACAGTTTCTTCAAAGTTTTTTCTTTTCAAGGAAATTATAGCATTTTTGTTTGAAGTTTTACGGTAAACAATGAAATATAACCCAGATTTGGAAGCATAAAAGAAACAAAAAAACCTTCATTGGACGTGAAATAATTCTCTACGTTCGGGTGTTAATTCCGCCTTTAAAAATTGAGGTTGTCCTCAAACCAGCCATGTGGGTAGGGTAACGATTCCGATCCAATGCGATATTTTAAATTCTCATGATTTACTTTCCGGTCTATTTGTGGGCAAAAATATCTACCATTTCACAAGGATTTCTACTTTTAACCCTTTCACTCCCAAGATCTCATCAGTAATTCTCCTTACTATCTGCCATACAATTCTTAGGATGTTAGTTTGGAGAATTTGGTGATGTATCAACTAAAAATCCCCGCTATTTCTTTATTCTCATCACTTGTCTGCTTGATATTGGATCAAACTTTAAAGAGAAATTCTCTCTTGGTCACTCATGGGTGTTAGAGGGTTAACTTTCTGATGCGATGTTTACTGCGACGCGCAAATTATCGTCAGCTTTAAGGAAACCACAAAATATTCGATCGGTGAGATGGGAAACTTGCCATGGTAGGAGTACACCAAACAGGAACGAAGCTGATGCAGAAAGATTGACACAAACTGAACACGACAGACCGAAGAAAAAATCCAACGGACATTGGATCTGTTTGCCGACATAATTGAGACGACTTTGTAACAATAAGGGAATCAAAAGTTGGAATTTATGACGGAATTTGTTACCACACTGAACAGAACTAATACAGAATACTTCGGCTAGCACTCCTTTACCTGTAAATTCCCTTTTAATCACAGGTTGATGCTGGTAAAAAAACGGGAAAATACGAAAAGGCGTATTCACCCACATAAATGGCGAATCAGTCCGCAAACGTCGCCGCTGGATTATAAACTTTCTGTATCAGGAAATTCCTTGAGGCTGAAAAAGCGATGGGTGTGTGTAAAACGCCTTTTGTCTCATCGAAAGAAGACCTTTGTGACGCTCATTGACTTTCCCCGTTTGGTTAAGTTTCACGACACTGAATTTCGAGAAAATGGGAGGTAACTATTCAATGAGGATTGAATTTTGCTGAGTTTGGCTAAACTAAGTTTACCGTACTATTACTGATTCACTCATTGTTGACTTGTTCGATTTCACTCGTAGCTCGGAATCAAATCTTCATTTTGCGCGGAAGACTTCGATAAGTCATTTGGATTTAAGATGGATTATTTCCAAGTTTCGAATATATTTTCATCAAAAGTTTTCATTTTAAAAATTTTTAGGTAAAAAAATGATAAAATATACACTCGCGGAAACAACAAACGCGGTTCAAAGGAAGCCTCATTTGAAAACAAAAGGCAGGAATCAGGAAAGAAAACAGTGATCTAGAAAAGCCGAAATTTAAAATCCGATAAAAAGGTAGTAAGATTAATTTAAATCCGAGTTCAGCGTCTGTTTTTGTCGGTTGTTGTTGTTGATTTTCACGAGTCTGTCGCTGCTTGTGTGTGTAATAAGAGGTCGAGACGTCGAAAATGTACCTAATCGCATTCTTTCGTTTGCATTTAAAAGGATCTATTTTCATCACCAAAACCCGAATCAGCCTCTGTCTTTTTTATCTTTAACCTTCTTTCCGTGTTTGAAGCTATATCATCCTGCAACTGCAACTGAAGTGTCGCAGACTTGCATTCGTGTCCCAGGCCTGCATTCGTTTCCCACGATCCATTTCATTCATGGATCTGACGATAGCATGGATAAGTGTTCTTAATATTTATCAAAGATTAGTTGCCGAGGAAACAATCATTGCCGCCACATTTCACCTACGTTACCCTAAGTTATTCGAATCAAGCATATTTAGGGGTGTTTCCGTTTTCCTTCCTTTTGGGCGCACACGTGTGTGTAGGTGTCTTTTGCTTACACTGAATCATGCAATCTCCAGCCAACCTTAAACTTATCAGTCGTAATTTAAAAATTATGTTCGATGCACTGCGAGTTCTTCTTTTATTCGCTTTCTTCTTGTTTTTATTTTCAACAGAGAGGATTAGCCTGCTTTCATGGGTGAAAAACTATCCTTTTGTCGGTTATTATTGTCTGGGTAAAAACGAAAAAAAGGATCAACCAACAAGGTATCCTAATGTTGTTTTATCTGCTTCGATGGAGAGGATAGCTCTGATTTCACAAATGTAGCTAAAGCGATATTTTCTCAGAGAGAACCGAAAGGAACTGTTAATTTCCAGCTTGTTTTTGGATTTCCCAGCGATTGCCTCTTTCAAAATCAAAAAGGCATTGTAGAAATAATTGATTCTTTTATCATGAATAAAAACCTTTGTAACAGACAACGAAAGTGTCATGTGTTTAAGTAGAATAAGGAAGAGATGGTAAAGTTCAAACTCGGTCGACGAGTTTATTGATGTAGTCTCTTGGGTGGGATGAAAAAAAATTTTGAGCCTCCTACGAAGAAACAAACCCCAGACATAAGCAGTGACCGCGGAATCCGAAGATTGGACGAATTAAAAACCTGACGACTAGGACTCTTTTTATAACCATATACAGATATACGAGTTAAGAAAAAAAATACCGAATAAAAGAGCATGGTTAAGGATAGAGAGATTGAGACGAATTGCAAGTTATAAGATACGATAGCACTGTTCCTTTTTGGCATATAGACAAACTTTTTTCCCTCATCACACCTCAATTATCACAGATAGAAGAAATTTTGGTGTGTAGCATCGCTGAGTATTTTAACTCGTTGTTTGTATTTTGACTCACCCTGCGGGCTTGTCAAAATAAGACAACCTAAAAATACATAGCCATGATACACACCAAAACGTCTAATAAGATATTTATTACTCAAGAATTTCATTTTGTTGAGGAGCTCGCATTTCCATAACTAAGAGATTATAAGTCTAAATCCACCTGGCTGAGAAACGTTTTTATGGCGACATTGTCTCTGGAAGGGTTGAATATTTTTATGGCTATGGTTTTATCGAACATTTCTCGCCAGATCAATTATGACAAATAGCTTTTGAGATTTCGAGCGTCGGTGGTGTGGGGTTGATAGATTATGAACTTTTTACGTGACAGAGGTGAAGCAAAAAAATAACTTTAAAAGCTTAATTAGCAGGCTCCTAATGAAGCTTTCCAAATTATGCGGAGAAAACTTTGGCCTGTCAAATTTCATTTTATGACGTTGATGCATCTTAGACTCAACGCGCTCAGTACATGATTAAAGATTTAAGTTCCTTGATCACACCCGCGAAGAGAGAAAAATAGGAGCTCCATGGTTTGACCTGGTTAAATTTATATTCTAAGTGATATTATGTTATGCATGTAAATGAAATTTCTTTATTGAACTACTAATTAAAATATTTTAAAAATACAATTTAAACAAAGCAACCAAAAAATAAGACAAACTAAAGTAAGTCTTCATGGCGATAACTCTCGTCTTGTCGTGAAAATCCATAGGTACTACTCAACGTCTGAAAATAAGAAATGAAAAAAAAAAGGAAAAGACAATCAATGTATTGTCAGCCCAAGATAAAAGGAAATCTTTCGTGCGAAGTTTACTGCAATTGAGTCGCAATTTTTTGGCGCGACCTCAATTTCACCATACTCGTAGGTTGGTGATTTCGAGGAGATTTCTTTGATAACGTTACTTAAGTCTCCTTGAGAGTTTCGGAATCTAAAGAAGCTTTAAAGGCTTTTTTTTTATTTGTTGAAACGTTTCTTCAAGTTTAGCGTAAGTGGATAGCAGTTTTTTTGCGCTTCAGCAATCCTCGCGGCTCCAATGCTTGACACTTCAAAGCGCTTACAAAATCGGTAGCAAAACAGGCTATTTCAGTTTGCCCTTTGAAACTGCCAAGAATCCGTCGATCGCTAAATTTCGTAATCGCACTTCATTCTCATTGAATAAACGGATTTTTAAACAGATTTTTTTTCTGAAACTGAAAAGTTATGAAATATCAATTTAGGCTTACCTCACCCATGAAAGATGTCGACGAACTACTAGAACCTAACATGATTGGTTTGAAGATTTCCAGAATCAATCGAGGTTTTAATTTCTTATACTAATAAACTCTTAGTAATCCTTCTAGAAAAGAACGCAGTGGCATGACCTGATGACATTGTTAAATCTTACTCTGTTCCTTGAGCTTTCTTCACTTTGGGTCTGTGCCAAATCTCTTTTTTTTTCTTTGAGCTTCCCCTCCCCTCCCCTCCCCCCCCTGCTTATGATATAAACATGGCTGATAGAATGTCACATTTAATGATTACCTGATGAATCTATAAGCACCAAATAACACAACAGCCAATGCACTGCATCCAATTGCAGCCTTAGTATAGTCTTTACATTGCCATTTTCTGCGTGACTTAGCTTCCCTCTCCAAACTTTCACGTAATAGAAGCTCCTCGACTCTGAATTGTCCATACGAAAGAGTCGGAGCTGACTGTGCGTAGTCAGTCATGAATCCACCAAACTCTTCAATTTCCGCAGCAGTCTCTATTGTTTCATTCATTGGAACGTTTGGCTCGTCTTGGAAATGACTGTCTCTTGTTTCTATGTCTTCTTGTACAATGCAAATTTGTTCTTCCTCTCTCTCTCTCAGCTCCTCGGACAATCTTTGAAAGTCATCTGTAAGGCCTCCCGCCAGCATGTAATGAGCTTTAAGTGTGCGCTTCATCTCTTCCGCAGTTTCATTCGAAAACAACGCACTTTCTCCTTCAAATTTCATTTGCATGGCTTCTTCGTATCCTCCAGGAGGCAAACGAAGCGGCTTCTTACTCTCCGCAAATAAATTTTTTATCTTTGAACAAACTGAGTCTTCCCAATCTTCATCAACCTCACTCCTTTCAACGCAGGGCACACACATCGACAAAATCATCTCGGTAATGTCCTCTACACGTTCCTTTGGTGTATTAAACGTCTTTAATTCAGCTTCCGCGTGTTGTTTCAATATTTTCAATGGCTCAATCTTGCACACCATGGACTCCGTACTCTTATCCAAGTTTCCTGCAAATAGGAAAGAATCGCATGGTTTTCATCTGGTTTCATCCATTTTTTTATGCTTGAATCTAAGCGCATACCTTGTAGTGCTTTGGCCGTGCATAAGAATATCACTCAATCTTTAACGAAAAGTGACTACGAAAAATCATTTATTGGACCACATATGGAAAAAGTTGATAATCTTATATTTGCGATTTTATCAATTTCGTTGCGCATAATATATTGTTGTGCATTAAATATATTTTACCTGTCACCAGAACATCTTGTAACGGGTTAAATCCTTCTACTGTGCCTGCTATGATGTTTTGCACTGTGTAAACAGGTCCAAGCTTGAAGGACTCGAAGGAAAAAAATCGCTGAGCGCATGTTTCTACGGACACTGAAACGAAAAAAGATTAAAGAAAATGTGGTGTATTTCTGCAGTGCGTCTGTTTAGTAATAGATCACAGATGACGTCAAATTATGGCAAGAACAAAAAAAGTGGCACACGAAGTGCAGTCAGAAGTGTCACCGATGTTCTTACCACATTTTGACCTCTCATCCGAAGCATATGGGCATGAAATAAATAATGTCAGCTTCCGGGTCTAATAAACCGTCTTAGAAGTATAGGATATAGGCTAACCTGTACCCATGTTTACTTATGAATTGAGAGAGGCGCTGTGAGATTAAAAATAAAGAGGAAGTCTTTATTTTACGTTAGTTTTAGTATCCACAAATGGACATGCAAAATCCTAGATAGATCAACGACTAGGAGAAGCACTAAAAAAAACTCACACATGTTGTGTAGAATGACCCAAATCAACATTTCCAGTTTGTGGCTGTTTAGTTTCGTGAAGATTCCATGTATGGTTCCCATCGGTGCACGGTTTTTATCGAGCTTCAAAGACATCGCAACCGCAGTCTTACGTGCTACGAAAGAAAACCACTGTTATGTATGTAACGATGAGTCTAGGTCAAAAAAGCTTATTTAAATACTCCAACATAAACCGAGCAGTTACATGTTCGACAGCCACGAAAAAACTGACAATTCGTAGAGCGCTCATTGGGATTAGTTCGCGTAAACGCGCGTATGTTCGCCGCTTATAATGATAGCCCGGTAATTTATGCCTGCATACTTCCAACCGTATTTTGTCACAATGTAAAATTTTCATCGCCAACAATTGGCATGATGCTGTAGCATCTATCCTTTTGAAACAGCCTGAAGGTAAAGTCAATGATACTTTTTCATTAATTAAGGGGCTAAGTTTTGAAAAAAACTGTGGTGCTGAGACGGTGGAGAGCATTACAAGACAGTTTGGTTTAATCAACTCAGAGTTGATAATGTCCATTGGCCACCGTAAAGAGTTTCTGCAGCTGATATTTCGAGAATTAGCTCTAAGGAAAACGTCAGTCTCAGAAACTCTTCACGATGGCCGGTTAACGTCGTCAAATCGGTTGTTAAAACCAAATTATCTACTTTTTTATGGGTGACTGACTGACTAACAGAATGACCGCCAAACTGACTGACTGGCTGACTGACCAACTGACTCATTGATTGTTGACTGATTGACAGTCTGGTTAGCCAACTGACCGATTGACTTATCAACCTTCTGATTGACTGAACGCATGGATGACGATGGAATTGAATGTTTCATTCGTCTTGTTTACGTTGGAGTGTAGTGATATTAAAACAATACAAAAGCTTTTATTGCAATTTGAATTTCAAAATAGTAATAACGCCGAGAGGAACCAATCATAGATAACACAAGGTGTGTTACAAGGAGCAGTCTCACTTACCTACAGAATTCTTTATCATTTGTTCAAGTGCATCCATGACTTCTTCGTTGAAGCGATTCCCAACGTCATGTTTTGAATTTCCACCATGACAAACATCGGAAGGTTTCACTTTCCTTCGACTGATTACATTCGTGATAATCACATGCATTACACACAAACTCCAAAGGAGAGTCTGAATGAGGATTTCAGTTTCAGCTGCTCTTTCAAAATCAAACAATCCTGGAAAAAGGAGAATTAGATCGAAGTTTTCAAATGAATATTGAAATAAAGGTGTTAAAAAGAATGGGGTAATAAATGGAATGTTTAGAGAAAGGACTTTTAAAATTTAAGGTGTGTTTTTTAATGGTTGTTGTACTAAAACTCCAAAACATACTTCCGCAAAATCTATTTTTCTACGATATCTACTGGATATATTAATTGGATCAACTAAATACATTGATTGAATTTTGATAAGACGCGCACAATTTTACGAATTTTCCAGCCAAACCAGTCAAATTTGAAGACGAGTATGCTTTTGTCTCCGAGAATTATCGAAATAGTTTTTACATGTACACAAATTCCGTCAGAATTGTGGACATTGTCTAAGTGGTAAAGCATCCAAAGTACTGATCAGAAGCTCGTGCGTTCGACTCCTATTGAGAGCAGTTGGTTTATATTTCTCCGAGTATCCCGGCGCCATTCACTGAATACCTTCATTTTTCATTGTCCCGGAATTTTAACTGATCTGGCGGGATGATTGTGAGTGTTGAGGAAATTATCTTTTTCAATGGAATGTTGTGATCGATAACTTCCATGAGACGTTTGGCAGTGTTTGTTGCTTGTTTAAGGTTAATTAATTGGGTTTGAAACGAGAAATACTTTATATATGCTAACCTCAGGAAGCTACATAAAAGTGCAAAGTTATGATTCAACATGAAAACGCGGTTAAAACAATTAATGCCGTCGTTGCTTTTTTTGTTTAACTGTTCTTAGCCTACATTTCCAAATTTCTCAGTTATTCCCATTTTTTAAAAAAGATGTATTTGCGAGGTCATTTGGAATTTTAATAGTTTTGGTAACCACCACAGACAATCTCTAAGGCAAGATGAAGAGATGTAGTAAACTTGCGCCAGTTGATCGTTTAACGAAGTCTGTTATACTGGGAAATTATGTTGAAAGATTAATTATCTCTGTCAAATAAATCTCAACTTTTGTTATTTCTATCACTGTATGAATTATTTAAAAGGCATCCTTAAAAAAAGACCAAACGAGCCGCAAGAAATCATGTTACATGAGAAGCGCTCCTTTTCAATTACCTTTGGATTTCTTCTCGGATAGTCTGAATCCAACAATTGATTTCTCATCGCATGATAGCGGTGCCAACAGGATGCACAGTAAAATTTCAACGCACGAGTTCATCTTCGCAAATCCACGCAGATGAAACAGGACAAAATTTTCTCAACTGATAATCCATTATCCTTTATTACGTTATAAGCGTTTGGCTTTGCGCGCGCGCGCGCTTTTATCGAAAAACTGAAGCTACTTTATATAATAATTAACAGCTAGTCGCCGAAGTGGAGGATATTTCCCATTCTGCGAAGCGACGAGGTAAATTTCCACAGCTAGCCACCGGTACTGAGTTGAATAGTAATTTTACTGTATATTAAAACAGTGAGATATTATAGAGAAAAAAGATTATTTTAACTCCTTCACTCCTGCAAAGATTTCAAAGGAATAACAAAGGATATTCGGAGTTTGAGTAGCCAATCAAAAGGCGCCTTCAACGTCATTTTCTATTTTAGTATACACTAATTGTGGATATAGTCTACATTTTTAAAAAAAGTTTAATAGTCTCAATTTATGATACATTTGTACAAAAAGCGATGATTTTTTCAACGTTTTCTTTTTATCGAAAGGTAGTACGTATTGAATTTGGTTTCTTTTACTTTAAAAGGCGCCTCTCGCTGACGCTTTCATTCCTCGAATTAATGCGCCTGTATCTGCACAGAAAATAAACTTTCATCAAGGTCTTCACTTCCTTCTCCTTGTAGCTTCCACGACTTTCCTCGAGAATCAACACTCGATTGGTAAATGTTACTTCAGTTGGAGACCTTATGTGCCTGCTTCCACAGCTTCCCACGGGTATCTTAAAACGGACATGCTCGTTGTCAACATGGGATGGTTTGCAGAGCGGGTCATTGAGATGAATATGCATGCGTGCTATGTCAAGCCAGGGGAACCTGGAGCGATGCAGAGTGACGGTTGTAAATTGGGAGTCACATTTAGTCATAGCTGCTTCTTCATCAAAGATAACACCACGACGTGCTGCAAAGAAAAAAACATAATGAGGATCGAAAATGTAGTATGACCGCGCGCCGAAGCGTGCCAATAACTGCAATCCAACACGTATACATTTGGCCTCATCGCCTGAGGAAGGCTAGTAGTGTAAAAGTCGAAACGTTGCGATCAATACAATTGAAAGCCTGACTTTATCTCTAGTTTGAGAAACACGAAATGTCGTACAAAACTGGAACCTAACTATGATCCGATTCAATTGACTTAAACACCTACAACTATTTACCTGGAATTTTCATTTTTATCACATGCCTCTCGGTCTGTTTCCGGGCATCAGTTGCTTGGCACAAGTAACGCCCACTATCTTGAAACTGAGGCTTTAACACGTAGCTCAACACCCTCCCTTGCGCACGCGCTATCACCACGTTGCGCCTGCTGATGCTGACCTGTATCGGGGGCTCACCTCCGTGAAAAAAACATTTTAACTTGATTGGAATGCCGAGTGGGGCAAATATTGTGTGTGCACTGGACAGTAATAAGTCAGTAGAGAGCGGCTCTGGAAAGAAACGAAGAAAGGATAAGGTGAGTATTCAAAATTTTCTTGCGAAAGACGATGTTATTCCGTGAATGACACAAGCGAACTTGTAATAATAGATCCGAGTGTTCCCGAACCTTCGACCTTCCAATAAGTAGTTCAGATGCTCTACTGTTGAGCTATAAGAGACTCGTGGCAAGCTAGGCCACTTAAATTGTCTTGTTTACTATTTTGGTGCCTTTTAATTACAATCCGGAGACCAAGACTCAACAAGAGTCTGTCCCAAGTGGTGTTAAGGTATCATTACAATTTTTGTCAAACCTTACATAGCCAAGTAGGGGTCATGCGTGCATCACATTCTTATGCTAGTTTTTGTCGGTGGGATTGATTGTTTTTTTGATGGTAACTTACCAAGAGGTTTAAACACTGGCTTTCCAGCTGAACGGGTTATTTCATGACGACAGAGGAACGGAAAGTACACATCCGGTAAATATGTGACTCTGAATCCTTTTGCTCTCCGCACTCGGGCAATAACTACGTTACGAGACTCCAACACAAACTTATTCCTCCTCACTGTCCTTGTGCCGCAACTAAAGAGTGGAGCCTGGATTCTAATTATCATGTCCGTCGCGTTGTACGTGTTGCAATTTAATTGGACAAGACTAATGTGAAATTTTTCTGGCTGTAGCCATGGATACACGAGTCTACTTAGAGAGATGTCAATGGTATTTGTCCTACACTTGACTGTTAGACCGTCCGATTTCATATCACGGGGCCCTAGGATGAAAAAGTGCATAAGGAGCCGGTCATTATTTATCGTCTGGAGGGGGATGGGGGGGGGGGGGAGGGTTAGAGGATTTTGATTGTTCCACTCCATAAGGCTCTGTTATATTCTTTTGTCCCCCCCCCCCAAATTGGCAGGTAATCAGCAGTCAATTTTCTATATTCCCTCTCCATACTCTGTTAGCAATAACTGATCCCACTCCGTTCCCCAGCGTTTAGGTTGTCAGTCTGTGAATGTCTCATTTTGTTCCGTGAGTACCTCAGAAATTCTGCTTAACAAAGACTTATTGAATAATTTTAAAATAACCAATTTATAATGAGTGGTATTCATGGAAGTAAATAGATAAATAAATTCGTAATACGTTAATAGTCAATAAGTTAGTTTGAAACAAAACTTTCAAAAGGGTCCTGATAGAGTATGTCTTACAATAGAATAATACTATAAAGTAGTCACTCACAGACGCAGTTTTGACGACCTTTG